AGCGAAAACAACGTCAAAACCATTTGTTGCCAACCGAGTCTTGCACTTTTTTTGCGATTTTTTTAAGCTCGCAAGTTTGGTAAGAAATCAAACGACTGTATTATCAAATATATGTAAATATATATTTATATGCATTACAAATATAGTACATACATATATGGTATATATATCGATGTTTGTGTGCTAGTTATCTTCAACACTTTTTCTGAGATTCACGAAATTATAATACAATTTTATTTTCTCTTATTGAATGAAATTGTATCATATTAATTAAGTATTATCGGAGAAAGAAAATCTCCTAATTCTAATATTATATCTTACAGATTGACTGATGTGTTCGTTAAAAAGTCAGTCATAGAAAGTGGGGCTCACTTATTCGGTATCTGGTGCCTTGAAAAGTTTTTATCCGATTTTCAGAATTTTTAGTCATGGGAAGGCATACCTTAGAAGCATTATTTGTGCGAAGTCTTGATATATTCATTTATATTTTGCAAAGTGAAAGATTCAGTTGGAATTTAAAATTGCTATATACGGGAAGTGTTTTACAATGTAATATCAAAATGTCAAGGTAATATTATGCACTGCATTTGCCTGAAATTGATCGAGTCACCTAAAGGTGGGCGATTGCACGTCCATTATTCAGCTTACCCACAGGCGCCTCTAAAGGCCATATTGGAGTGCAATTTAACGCGTAGGAAGCCTTCAGTTAGCTCTCTTTTAGTAATATTTAACAAAATTGTTATAGGATGAGTCGGCGTGGTTATCCTCCAAATTTCCAAATGTTTAAGGCAGTGCAGAAAAGATTCGTTCTTGGCAAGCTTGGTTGGTATAGCTTAAAAGGTAAAAACTATGAGTAAGAGCACGCCATGCCTACTTAAAAATAATATCTCCACTCACACTAGTTTTTCTCACTACATAAGTTGCATTTTATTTTTCGAGATTTGACAAAAAAAATTATACAATCTGGCAACTCATAACATTATCGTTAAGCTCGACAATTTTTGATGCTATGCACATTTGTGTTATTTACAGTAACTTAAAATATTCACCCCTAAACTTCACTTAAAATATCGATTTGGTAAAATATTGATTGAACTTGATAAACTATGAGATCAACGCAAGTTTCGGAGATACCTCAATCAGAGTGACAAAAGTGGTTTGAAAATTGGTTCAACCGCATGCAAAAAAACATAGATTTTAATGGAGAATATTTTGAAAACAATGTTTTTGTTCGCTAACCCCGAAATATAAAGTAACCGGCGTACTGCAAACCACTACAGTTTTGTATCTTAAATTAGAGCATGGCATTACACTTCGTAGGCTTTCGCTTAAGTGGCAACATGTTGCGAAGCTACTTATGATATCCTTCTCAGGTGCATTTC